CTGACTCAATTATGAATTTTTCTATTCACCATTCTTTGAGCTGACATTTCCAAACTTAAGCGTGACTTCAAAAGGCCACAATATGTCCAAGATATAAATCTTGTCAAGTCGAAAGCATGCATCGGAGAAGGCATAATTATCGAGGTGAAGCAGGGCTTGTACATATTGCTGAACATGTGTTCGTGTTTGAAAACTTTTCTGACACGAATGTTGGATGAGAGTTGTTGGCATAACTGGCATAGGCATTCGATATCCTTGCACTTTCGCCCTTATATGGAACGTCTCTCATTACGCGAAATGTCAAGAGACCTAAAAAAATATTCGCCATATTGTTCAGATATAAGGCATAATGGATTTTTACAATCTGTTAAACACGGAAAAGATTCTCACTCAATGCCGAACAAGTTCAACTTGTAATCGACTGCGAATTTCAAGAAATTTTTTTGCAAGAGTCAGGAACTTATGTTATTTTCGATTTTAGTTGATTGCTGACGACGAAATTTGATCATCTACTATTTGAGCGAATCTTCGCAATAGTAGAGAGAGTTCGCTAAACTGTAAAAGAACTGGCGACCTTTTAGAACAGTTGTTTTTATATCCTATACCACACTTGCGGTACAACAGGAGATTGAGTTTGCTTGGATGTCTGAAAGACCCATAAGGAGACCTGCCTTTTATGATGCCAATCGATTCAGAATCACTGTACGAGACGATTCTAGTTTGCCTTAACTGCCCGTCCGTCTTGTTCGCTTCTGTTCCACCTACAGGACACAATTTTTGAAACATTTTAATGCAATTTGAAAATGATTCGGATCGAATCACTTATTTTGGACAGTTGTCGTATGATAAGGATATTTAATCGTGAGCTGTGGCCCACTATTGTGCTTTTCCGTGTTTTAGATTTCAAGTTATTGTGAAAATGAAAATATTCAAATTTCGACTTGAGCAATTTTACAAAATAAACGTAACTAGTAAAGTGAAATTTTTTCTTTTTCACTTTTTTCTCAAAGATTTCGACTAAAACCTCAGTGCTGCAGAGTTCTCAATAAAGCCGATAATTGCCGCAGATGCTAGCAACAATCATTTATTTCATTTGCTTGTTTTAGCGGATTAGTGACTTTATTGCTGGCGAAAGTCCTGTGTAAAGAAGAATCAAGAATTCATTCTTCCTTCCTTTAGATGCAATGCTCTTTAAAAAAATTGCTAACTGATATTTTTTTTGCACGCTCTCTTTCTTTCTTGCTCGCGTTTGTCCCCTTTTTCGCTCCGGCCCTCCATAAACACAAAAAGACCTACTACAGTTAGGTGAAAGTAATTAAGCTTAAATTGTTAAAATATTGTTCAAGAGTCGCTTAACTTCAAAAAGCGTTTTTAAAAGTGAAACCACTGAAACCGGAAGAAGAGCTAAAGCGAGTTCAAACGATAGCTTTCTGCCTCTATTTAATTTTAAATGTTGAGCCAGCTATTCCTCACCTCGGTATTTTCCCATGACAGCGCAAAAAGGGAAGTTAATGATAAGTCAATAATGTCATACAACAAAACTAAAAAGAACAACAATAATAACACTACATAGACGCATGCACCTATATAAACATATAACAAACAATGAAATGCTTGAAACAACACTTCCAATAAAAAAAATTCATTTATTTTTTTTGTTTTGTTTTGTTTTGTTTTGTTTTTGTTTTTTTTTTTGTATATTTTGTGATAGGATTTTATAGATAAGTTCGTTCTCTCTTCAATGCTCATTGGCAGTTGAATTCATGATTCTCACGCGTCGTTTTACCGTTCTAAGAAACGTCTAAATAGGCTAAATAAATAATGTGCAGTTTGTATATTTTCGAAAATGTCCAAAACGCGTTTCGCCTTACGAGACCTATAATCAGCTCATTTATTATATTAATTACTTTCAAATTATTATTTATTATTCAACATAATTAGCTTTTCATAATAGTTGCCTTTTGTTCACAATAGCAATACAATATATATATATATGTACATATATATATGTATATAAGGGAAATATAAAAAAAAAAAAAAGAAAAAAACTCATTTTCGTTATTAGCGGCTAAATATCAAACAATTTCTTATCAGTAAATACACATTTTGTTTATGAATCACTATACACTTATGTTTGTTAGCAAATTTATTTACAATTGGTCATAAATAAATATTTTATGGCAACTTATTAAGAATGATTTGCTTTCTACCTTCTGCCCCTTTTGCACTTTTCCCGCTATCGGCTTTTATTGAGAAATGATTTAAAAAATAAAAAATAAATAAATTCACATAAATCATAATTTATTGAATCAATACAAGCAAAGTAATTAATTGCTTTCTTGAAGAAACATAAACTATGGCGGACACATTTTGTCATGAAGTAAAAGCATAAGCACTTGCCATTTTTTATAATTAAGTGATTGAATTGTGCCGTCTGATCCAACTCCAGATTTAGCCTTTTTCTTTATATGCACACGGCCAGCTTATCCGCTATTGAAAGCAAATCAATTCGATGATCAATGCATGCGATGAAAACTTAAGCGGAAACTTTTGCACCTCTCTGCCTCAACATCAATTCAGTTTGCAATAAAAATGTTTGAAAGTCTTCGCGGCCGTTTTGTGTCTAATAACTAAGTGTTATATGTCGACTAAGCGCCCACCAAACAAGCATGCTCTATGGCGCTCAGATTTGAAGCAGCGAAAACTGAGTGACTTGGTCCTCGTGTCGCGATTCTTATCTACTTGATCACTACCAAAGGAAATTTTAAAAATTGGAATTTTTATTGCATTTTACGGGTGCAATTTAAAGTGCACCCATGAGTTTTTCGAGCGCATGAATCGAAGAAATTTACTTTGTCTTCGAGTTCACCAGCACAAAAGTTAGTAAAAAAAAAACCCATTCTCTAAACGGTCTCACCAATCCCATTATATTGGTGTGAGGGAAACCTTACAGACTTTGTACTCATCTGCGTAAAAGAGATTGAAAATGAAACTTTTTTATTCTATTATTGAATATTAAACTATGATTTAGCGATTTTATAAGAATAATACTTGACCTCGATGACATTTAAGAAGAATAAGCAAAAAACACGAGAGAAAATAACAAAGAGCGGGGAAGAGTGAAAGAAAGCAGGATAGAACGGCAAGATGTATAGAAGGGACGAAGCGAGAAGAAAACTATGGCAGTTTAGTGGAAAAAACGAGAAGGGATTGACAAACAGAAGAAGAAAAACGAATTTGATGTGAAAAGAAAAGCTCAACAAACATAAAATTTAGCAAAATGCATAAAGGAAAAAAGGGGATTAAGTTCCAAAACATAGCCTGCTCTTAACATTTCCCAAATTTGACATATATGTTTTAAATCAAAAAAAAAAAAAAAGGCTGAGAAGACTCTTTACGGTTTCTATTTCCTTTCCTTCTACACATGACCGTCTATGGTTTGATAAAACTTCAAATCAAAGATGCTTCTCGCTAACGAGCTTGTCAGCCACTAAATCTAATTCTTCAATATCTATATGATGAAGTACAACAATTTAGTATTTTTAAATTTAACACTTTGATTATGAGGCTCTCCAAGACTTATAACTTACGCATAAGACTGCCCTATAGCATAAGCCAGATAAAGTTTATATGTGTGTATTAAGTTTGCTCTACTATCAAAGAGTAACTGACTAGAAATCAACAAAAGACTCTTAGTTAATTTAGGTTCGTTTGTCCGCTTTTTGATCAGTGTTTGAAACGCTCATCGCTTTAAAACTTAAAACCTGAGACCTAGAATCGTAGCTGACAAATAAGATAGATAGAGAAGAAGATTGTTAGGGCAAGACTTGAAGCAAATCTTTACTAAAACAACTTAAGATGTTATTATCACAATGCTCGCGAACGGCTTGTGAACCGCTCGCAAATTGCTCGACAATAGGTAATAAAATCTCAACTTACCTATCATCTATACTATGTTGTATTCTAATATATGATAAAAATATTGCTTATCCAAAATATGAGTTGAGAAAATTGCGACCTGATGGTCGCTTACAATGGAGTGAAATACTTGAAAATCTTTATGTAAAGTTTTCCTTATACGTCCAAAAGCGAACGTGACGAATTTTTGCTTTGTAAACTTTACAGCGTGGAGACGAATGGCTTTTTCCCTTTTTTCCTCAAGGACAGCTGTTGTGCAAGAGGAAAAATACGGATTATGAAAATGAATTGTCAACTGTAAAAGGCCTAAAATACAACAAGTTTTATGATATGAAAAAAAAAAAAAAAATAAAACTCTTTGAAAAAATAATGAGTTCATCACAATGATTCCTGATTGAGTTCAATTAAGTCGAATAAAGAAATGAAAGTGAACGGATGTCTTCTCTAGAAAAATTCAGTCATATGCATAATGTATAGAGTGAAAATCGAATAAAAGTGAATCTTTGTCAATTAAAACAGTTAGTCAATGATGTCAGAGCATAGTCCCGATCATCTGCATGCGCAATATTTTTACACTTATCTTGCATGGCCTTTGAGCTTGAAAATACGTTTGTGACTCGGATTGTGATTGTTTGTGATATCTATAAAATCAAAGAATTTCGTTTTTTATCCCTTTCTTAGTCAGTTATGGATACATGAAAGAAATAATTTTTATTACGAACGATGGTTTTGGTATAACAAAGCAAAATTTCTATACACCAAAACGAACACTTTGTAGAGCGTACTGCACAAGCATGCAATCAACGATCGATTATATACTTATAAGCAATTTATATAGTTTTTGTTTTTACTCCTGTTACTCGTTAGACAATGGAAACTTTTAACAGGATACAACCTTCTATTCTTCTTCGGCTTTTCCACGCATAAATATCTAATCTAGTTTGGCAACATCTATGAATATAGCTATCATTGAAAGAACATAAAGATTGTAGACAAAAAAAAAAAAAAAAAAAAAAAAGACTAAATAAATAAATAAATAAACGAAAAGAAAAGAAAAGTGAAAAGTGAAGAAAGAGACTCACCTGCATTACCCAATAATTTGGTGAAGTTGTTGCAAATTGATTCCCAATTAATATATCCGTATGCATTTAAGATTGGTGTTAAATTCACTTAGGCACACATACATACACACAAACACACACACACACACAGCCAAACATATACATATACATATATATGTATCTATATATATATATATATATATATATATATATGTGTGTATGGATATATATTTATATATAATTATGAAATTGATCTTCTTTTTGCTTCCCCCTCTTTCTCGCTCTCGTTTTCCTTCTCCTTCTCTTTTTCTCACCCACTCACTCTCTCTCTCTCTCTCTCTCTCTCTTTCTTTCTTTCTTTCTCTCTCTTTCTCTCTTTCTCTCTCTCTCTCTGTCTCTTTTAGAATTTTCTTTTATTTTTAATTATATTTGAATGGCACCAAAAAAAGAGAGAGCCTTCTTACTTAGGTTTAGGTTAACGTTTCTTTCATATAAGGCACAAATATTTTCTAAGGCAGAATTTATTTTAATTGAAAGGCACTTTAGGTTTTCTCTCATCTTTAATTTATGTGTGTGCGTGTGTATTATATGACGTGAAAATTATTTACTAAATAAACTTAATATATTTAAGTTTGAACGTTTCAATTAATAAAACAACTAGCATTCTAGCGACGGTAACGCTTGACATTATGCCGCTCTCATTCACTTCCGCATTTCATTAATATATTATTTTATAAATTCTTTTCAAATTATTAATTTTTAATTTTTTTATTTTTTTTTTTTAATTTTTTTTATTTTTTTTATTTTGTGTTTTTTTTTTAATCAATGCAAAAGCATTTTAAAATGAGATCGCACGCGTTAGTTAATCATTTGCAAGTTGCGGTTTTTTCTTTTTATATTTATTTATTTATTTTTTTTTTAATTTTCTTCTTATCTTGGTAAGGAATTTTTTCAAAGTTTTACTTTAGTGATATCAAACACGTTTCACGTTTCGATGAAAGAAAAGAAAAGGCGGTCGAAAACACCCGGGAAATATAGAAAACGAAACGAATGCGTTTTCATCTCAATCAGTTATGGTTGATGTAATAGCAACGTAAATAATAATAAATAATAATAAATAATAATAAAAATGATAAAAATAATAATAATAACAGTAATAATAATTATAATAATAATAATAATAATAATAATAATAATAATAATAATAATGATAATGATAATGAAGAAGAATAGTGTCATCAATAGATGAATTGATTTCAATTTCAGTTATTGTTGTTGATCGGTTAGTTGGTTGTTACAATATCTCTGAGGACGCTATTAACGCGCGCACAAATGCCCGTATTTCTTGCTTATGCTGTCGGTAACCGAGTTCAGACTGACTGACTGGATAAGCAAAGGTTCAGCTTAGACGTACCACCACCACCAATATGTTTGTTATTATTATTACATACTATTCTGTTTTTATTTTTTTTATTTATTTATTTTTATTTTGTCTTTTTTTTTTTTTTTTTCATTTTTATTTTTATTTTTTGTTTTGTTTTTTATTCTACTCCAATCAATGTATGTTTTTATACACTGTTACGTTGTCGCTTACTTATGGCTGCTTTGTGGATGGCTCGCAGGCAAGCAGGCAGGCTGGCTAACGTGCCTGTTTGCTTGCTTGCTTGCTAGTTTACTGGTTGACTCTTTTGGGCTCCGTTACGAATGTGTGTTAGCTTAGAGTTATTTGTTTCTTCGTGTGGTGCATATTCATCTATATACATGTATGCGTGCATGTGCTTATTTCTGAGTTTGTGTGCGTTTTAACCACTATTTGACGTTTCGGTTCCCTATACACTCTCTGTGATATTAGTTGCGTTTTTTTTTTCTTTTTAATTTTAATTTTTTATACAAAAACTTATTATTATTTTTTTTTTTATTCACTCTTGTTACTGAATACAGGTGATGATGAAGATTTTGTGTTGTGTGCTTGGTTGTATGTGCGCGCGCGCGTGCATGTGTGTGTGTATGTGTGTACTAGTTTACTACTATGGCTAATGTAAAAAGACTTATAAGCCTTGTCGGCAAGTAAGAGAGCTAAAGAGATCGATCAGTGAAAGAGAGAACGAGAACGAGAGAGAGAGAGAGAGAGAGAGAGAGAGAGACAGAGAGTTGTTGAGTGAGAGAAACTAAATTAAAGTATCAAAGAGAGAGAGAGAGAGAGAGAGAGAGAAAGGTCAAGAGAGTTAGAGAGAAAGCGATTAAGACTCTCTTGTGTTCAATTTAATTACCTATAGCGTGCATGATCAGAGATCAGTTAAATGATTCTATCGCGCGCATTGCCTGTATTTTATAAAGCTTTGCTTTATGTTTGCACTCTTTCTTGAAGATAGGCTAAGAGCGGCTTCTTACTTGTTAGCCGCTGCAATGTATAAGAGTAAGGCGAAAACCCCTATTTATGCGGCTTATGAAATATTCAATGATTCGTAATTTTGCTCATACACTCTTTAAAATATATTTTATGGGAAAATTAGTCTACGCATCATCTCTGATTAAAACACGTGCAATTTACTCGCTTTTACAATCCTTGCCCAATATCTCCCCCTTTTAACGCAAATACTTTAAACCAAACACTTTGTCAAGGTTAATATTTCTACTTAACTAAAATTAAAGTACCGTTCAGTTTGTTTGTTTGCTAATCTGTCTTAAAATTATGCAAATGGTTTTTTCTTTTACATACGAAAAGTCAATATTTGCTCGTTCGCATTCGCAGTAAAACAAAAAGTATACAGAAACTTAACTATGGACTTTAAATGCATTATCTACACTTATGCACGCACTAGTACTTTCACGTAAACATATAAAAACTAAGCTGTTAGTATCGCTTTAAAAAGGAAAAGCAAAAGAAAAAGACAAAATAAATAAATAAATAGAGGTGTGGCTTACCCTAGTAAAAACCACCAATCACAGCGATAGTATATCTTAACTCTAAACCATATAAAACTAGAAGAACGAGAGAAGCATAAAAACCGAGAAACATTCGAGCACTCTTTTGATAAAAAGAGACATACTACTGGGTGATTTTCTCTATACATTTTTATACAAATGCATCTATATTATATATATATATATATATATATATATTTGTAATTGGAGAATGGTGTACACGGAGAATAAATTGTTTTCATTAAAAGTTTAGATAGTTTTTGAATGAGGAGAAGTAGTGGAACTCTAATACAACTTTCTGCTTACATTCGCTTCAGGATGAGTTTCAAATGCTAAATGATTATATAAGAGTGTATGGTTCTCTGTTTGTGTCCCTCAGACATTCATTCATTTCCATCCTAATATTTATTAAGATCAATATTTGTATAAATTACTTAATGCAATTCAATTATTTGTTGATTTATTCATTTCACTCATCCACCGAGAGTATCCCATCCCTCTCGTTTGATCAAGTTCCAATAACATCAGCGTATTCTTATAGGAAAAAGTCTCTATGTATATAGAAAGGGTATATAAGATTAACTAAATGTATCGAAATTATAGGAGCAGGCATGGAATGCCGGAGAAATTATACATAGGTTTTTTGTTTTTTTTTTTTTTTTGATTTTTAAATTCATGCCATTGCCTAAGGGATGCAAGGTTGATATTTAGTTGGATTTAGTTTATAATAACCAGAAATACATCTCAGAGATCCCTTTAGGATCCATTTACTCAAACCTGATCTAATGCAATTTAAGCATTTGATGCTCTAGACATGTGTCTGCCAGCGCGGTTGTAATCTGACAAAAACTGAGATGGAAAGTTAGATAGACATGGACGTATGGATAGCGTACGCTGTCGGGCTAGACTAACGGCTCAAATTTAAAAAAAAGCAATTGAAATTTGCAAAACCAATCCCAAAGACTTATGAAAATTCTCTGGACATGTGCTAAAGTATTCTGGACGTGCTTTTCAGCTGTTTGTCTTGCTTTGCATTACTCAGTGTCGGCAGCCAGTCTTCCATAGCACTAATTAGACCAGCTCCTAATACGAAAGCAAAAAAAAGCTTTCTATTCTTTGCGAACACAAAGCATTGACTTTTTCACGAATCAGTTTGCTTTTCCACTCTATATTGATGGTTTTCGTCGTATGTCTGACAGTGATCCTTAACGAAATATTTCGCCGGTGCAAAAATAATATCCTTTCGTATTGTAAGGTAGCATGGAATTTTTCTCCCATTTAGTTGCGTTTCCCGATCGTCTTGAGATAACAGTAGGCGGTCCGCTGATCTTCGTTTCGGACATATTGAAAAACAACATATATAAATAAAATACAGATCGAAGTATATAGTATTGCGAATATTACGTTAAATTAATGCCTTTTCGTGTACAATACTTTCTGTTCGCCCATCTAGAGCATATGTAAACAATGTTGAGGTTCTTCCAACACGTGAACAGACTGCATGTAATTGTTCATGTGAAAAGAGTTAATGCGGAATGGAAACTTGTAGTGATAGCATTTGCTGCATTTCATTGGCAGCATTTGCATTTGCTCGAGATTGTCTAGCTATTGCCAATTCGTCGTGACGATTACTTTCGGTTTTATATGCATGCAATTGTTCGATTCTTAGTCTTACATTTTGTTGTTTACTGATGTGCGATCGTGCATCTGCCCCAATCTTCTCGCATATGTTCCGTTGTTGTTGTTGTTGTTGTTGAGTATTTCGACTTCGTGAACCAATGTTTCGTTTTTCTCTTCGCGGCATTCTTCTACTATTAATACAAACATTTCAAACTTAATATTCAAAACACATATTACATATTTATTTATTTAATTTTTTTTTAATTCGTCTGAAACAAAGTTCAGGGAGTTAGCTAATGAATAAAAATGAAAATTATTACATTTTGATTTTATTAAATTATTTATAAAGCTAAAGTAAACATCATATATAAATTTACTTACAATCGGTTTGATAACACACAAGTTTGCCTATAGCGCCATCTAACGCAGCTTTCCTGAGCCTGAGTAACGAGTTTCACTCCAATCGAATGAACGCTATCGTTACGTTTGCAACGCACATTCATTTATATCTATAGATTACTTACAATCCAATATATATATATATATATATATATACATATATATATATATATATTGGTATATAAAGGGCACTGTTTACCTTTTATATCGAAATTGTCGAAAGCAGGTTTCAAATGTTTTAAGATT